CCCTCCCCCATCCTGCTGATGTGCTTCATTGATGAATTACAGTCACAGAGGAGCTGTGTAAGGTAGAGACTTTAAGCCTATCCTTAATTTGGTGTTAAACCACAACCAGGCTGAAACTTCTGGCTCTGCCTTGCTAAGACCAGCCATGCAGAGACAGAATGATTTTTGTGCAATCATTCGAGCATGATTTCGCTCCCTTTTTATAAGGATACTAAAACTCATCCAGTTAAACTTATTTCAATTTTTGCCAATCTTGGCCACATATAAAACTTCTTTCAAAAATGTATTTTATATATTTTTAATTGAGCCCACCACACTCTACCTTTTTTGCATATGGATGTTATTATTTCTAGTGGCTTTAATCACATATGAGTATATTTTGAAAACTTTAAAATTCTAATGAAAACTACAGTAAGTAAGCAATGTGAACTGTGTTACACAATTATTTTCCCAGATTGACAAGTTCTTAAATACAGTTAATATTTTCTAGAGATACATGCTTCCTCCTTCTATACGTTTGTAGTGCTGCACAAAACATGTTTGGTGTGGATCCAAATGCCTTTAAAGCAAAACCCTCAAGAGTTGGTAAACCTATGTGCAATAACTAATACTATTTTATCTTATTTGGAAACACTCTAGAAATATAATAAATTCTCATTATTTAACTTATCAAATATTCTAAATGTTCAAGTTAACTCCTAAAAGGTTTCAAAGCAATTTTAAGTACACATACCATAATTTATAATCAGTGCTTAAAAATTACCTTAAAACTTTTCCTCCTACTTACTTCTATTTCATTTATTCTTAACAATTATGTGTAAATGACCCATAAAAACTTCATGAGACATTATTAGACAGAGTCAGCCATCATACTAAACTACTATTCTGGCTGAAAAGAAATCAGATTACCTAATTTGGCTAATAAGTCCAGATAGCATAAAAGTTGTTTTTGTTTTTTTTAACGTCGATAACTCTTAGACATGCTGTTTTAACTTAACCAACAAACACATTAGTTTATATTTACTCAAGCTTAATCCTAGATCACGTATCTTAAAAAACACTTAGGTTATTTTCCATGATTAAAAAAAATTATATAATCACTTTGTCAATGAAATTTACTTTGAATATTAAAAAAACTGTAAAAGATATATTTTTAGACAGAGGGAAGGGGGGAAACATAGTGCGGTTGCCTCTTGCGCGCCACCTACTGGGGAACTGGCCACAACCCAGGCATTTGCCCTGACTGGGAATGTAACCTGCAGTTTGTCCTGGTTCACAAGCCAGTACTCAATGCAGCGAGCCACACCAGCCAGAGCTAAATTTACTTTGGAAATTCTATTTTAAGGTATAAAACACTAAACATCTACAGCATACATCTGTAGACAGACACAACAAGCAGAGATCTTATATTGTAGTTTTAAGACAGGATACAAATACATCATGTAAAATTTACTAGTTATAAAAGTACAATTTAAAACGTTTCTGGGCTCAAATTTGTTGAAGGTTTTTAAACTAACATGTAAAAAAACCAATTTCTCAATAAACTTAAAGCACACAAATAATCAACACTTGTTTTTGACTAGTAATCTCATATGAATTGTGGGATAGTTTAAAATTTTTTGTAAAAAGAGAAAAAAATCAAATCCAGGATGGCAACAATGTGGGCTGGAGGGTATACTATATAGCTCCTCTCACTGCCAAAGAGGAATTACAACTAAATTATAGAAAAAATAGTACTGAATAACTAACTGAAAACTTGCTGAAGTGCTCTTCTAAGCACAGATTTGGAGAAGAAGCCACTTCAAGACTAGGAAGGATGAGGTATGAAAAGGCCCCCACTCTCAAGGTATTGCAGAAGGATAGCTCAGCTGAAAAGAATCCTGAGGAAGAAGTCATGCAGGGCGAAGACCATGGTGCAGGTGGTAGGTAGGGTTGCCGGCGCCGAAGCTGAGGGCAGTCCGGGTGACATGGGCAGCTCAGATAGCCCTGGAGGCCACCAGGACCCCAGAATGAGAGGCATGAGGGAGACCGTGGCCTCACCCTCCAGAGTTCCGCCAGTCCTGTGGGCACTCCGCAGTCCCGGCCTGGTCAGAGATGCCTCGCTGGGGCGTGGTGGGCCTGCCCGCTCCGCAGCTGAACCGCCAGGACGAACACTGCTCCACCTTACTTACCCTCACGGTGCCTCTACCATCAGCCGTTCAGGCGGAGATAGCTCGCCAGTTCCTAGTCACCCGTATCCAGCCCCACCCAGGGGCAGTTTTCAGGGAGCTCGTAGTGTCTGCAAATTTTGTAAAGATCCGAGTGACTGCTGAAGATCCCGGCCTACTCCAAATTGCTGTGAACTCGTCTCTACCAGCTTTGTGTCTTCATTGGTTCCATGCCTAACATTTTGCATCCAGTGTTTTACTTTTTACCCTAGGCTGGAAAACAGGGGCTAAAAGTAACCTGGGGTCCCTCCCTAGGCAATGTGCCTCTCGCTGGCGCATTGATTCCTGCAGCAGTTGCCCCTTTATTGTGGGGGCCTAATAGTTTCCTTATACTGACCCTTCGGCACTCCCCACTCTACTGTTTCCCTCTTAATGGAGGATGAGTTCTTAATTGCCTGTTACAGCAGAAAATAAAAACGAAAGTGTTAAAAAAAATTATCCTGAGGAAGCGGGGTCTCAAACCTTGCCAGGCTCTAATCCCCACACTGGATTTCCCATTCCAGAGTAACAGAGCCAGGTTGAGGCCCATATATAATAACATGTGGCTCTGAAAAGCAGCAAAGTCTGCCTGCCAGACATATGCATCCCCCTTAAAGGGCTAAAACTTCATTCAAATCCATACACTCTTGGCTCTGGGAGAGCAATGATACAGGTAAATACAGTCAGGTGAGGAGAGATGAATTTGTGGCCCCGAAATGAAAGTTGAAGGACAAGGACCACGATTGCTGTGCTGATAACCTCTCTTGACACCATAGATACCATCTTTCTTGACTAGAACATTCCCCTCATTAAATCAGCCTGGGGGAAAGCCACAGCCCCACTTTCTGCACTGTCACATCACCACCCCCATGGAACTCACCTCTTGCTGAGGTGTCAGCTGCCCGAGCTGGGCTGTAAAAGTCTGGGCAGACTCAAAGGTCAATGAACAGTGGCTATAAACCCACTCCCAAGCAAATGACCAGCATCAGCATGCCCACACATGAAATCTGACAGCCTTACCCTCCTGACTCAGCGCTTGGGGACCCCAGCAGAATCTGAGGAAGGGCCCATTTTTCCATAGTCTGCCCTACCGGTAGAGCCCTTCCTTCCTTTGGTGAATGATTTTTGTTGTTAATCTTCACCAAAAGATGTGTTTATTGATTTTCAGAGAGAAAAGGGGGTGGGGAGAGCAAAGGAGACAGAAAGAGGAAGATCAACTCATTGCTTCTCATATGCACCTCCAACCACGGACTGAACATGTAACCCAGGCATGTAACCTGACTGGTGTATGGGATGACACTCCAACTAACTGAGGCACTCAGCCAGGGCATGTATGTGTGTATATAAGTATGTATGTGTGCATGTGTATAACTGAAATCAGTTAAAGACATGTTTCCTTTACATTTATTTTTCTCTGCTGAAAGTAAACCCTCTGGAAATAACTGTTTCAAAAACTACTTAGTCTTTTCTATTAAAGTTGTGTAAGATTTAACAGTGGTTAGTATTTACCTCTGTTACAGAACAGACACACCGGGGCACTGACTCCAGAGGATGGTGAACTAATACCATCCAGACCCCCTACTGGGCCTGATCCTCAGTCGCCAATTGGAAAGACCTCTCTGAATGCCAGAGATTTGTGAAAAGGAAAGGAAATGTTTATTTAATGCTATTCAGACCCAACGTCTTCATTAAAATATCAAAGTCCTTTGGAGTACCCACCTAGGCACACAGCGCTTCCTTCTCTTCCTGTCCTAACTCCGGGTACCATAACTCAGGAAAAGAGCACACATGGGCTTTCTCAGGCCACTGGTCCCATCAGCTGTGTCACCATCCAGGCAGGATCCCCAATTAATCCAAAGCCATGTGGCACCTTCTCCCGGTCCACTGGCAAGAGTTCTTCACACCCATTTTTCCAGGCAAAGTCTCTCCTGCTTCCCAGGCCACGTGGCCAAAGGGAGCACCCCAAAGCTGCGTGGGCCTCTTCTATGAAAGCTGCAGGGGTCCGCACTCCACCAAAAGCACATGTCTTTCTTCTTTACCTGGTTGCAGAGATTTCCATTCTGGCAAAGCTGCCTGGTTTTCCCTTTCACCTGGGCAAGAGGGGGTCCTCACTCTGCCCCAAACCTCATGGCTCTCCCCTGAATGGCTACTGTGACTGGGTTTCCACACACCAACCTCGCCCTGTACCCCCATTTCCGACTCCTCCCACCATCAGTTACACCTGCCAGTATTTCTGTGTTATTGCAAGTTTACTGGGCTGCCATCATGAGTCTGGGCAGGTGTGGCCCCATGTCCTAGAGCCGATCTTCTCCAAGCTCCCATGCAGGCGCTGTAACTCGGGGGGACCTGCCCCCCAATTAGATTTTGCAGGGGAGTGACTTCATCCCCCTGGCTCCAAGCCTGGCCACAGTCATTTAACATATTCAAGTGACCTGCCAAAGGCTATAGATAGGTTAAATGACCATGCCATGGATTAGCTGCAAGGCTGTGGCTGTACAAAAGAGCCCTGCATGTTCCTGCTCCATGTGTCCCTTTCCCCAACTCACACCTGTGGGGGAAGGGGGAAGGACATCTTAAATGTCTTTCCAATATTCCTATACACCTTGAGTTCTGGACCCCATTCCAAATCCCTTTTGGGCCCCCCTGCCCCCGGCTGTACCCTGTATCAGCTCCACCCTTAATTTCAACTTGTTATGATTGGTAACTTTCCAAGTGGATAAAACACTTAAAAAAAAGAAAAGATCACAATATATATTCCTAGTAAATATACATGAAAAATTGGTACTCGCAATAATACAACAGCAACACAGAGTATAACCAAAATATACTCAATGAACATTTTATTTCGTATCTTGAAATAAAAGATAAATTAGTATGCCTTAACAGACCACATTCATGCTGTGGTTTCACTCTTTCATTCTATGCAAGTTTATTATAAAATTAGGTTTTCAAAACTATGGGTTACAAGTATACATGAGTTTTGACAATAAAATGACATATTTTAACATAAGTTTTTGGTATAGTATAAACAATTTTCCTTATTTTGCCATTACAAATTGCCTTATTTAAGAAATTTTCTACACATTAAGGGAAAAGAAAACCACTGTCAACAGTATATCACTACTTTCAACTTTGAATTAATTGGATATTATCTTGGCCTGAATTTTTGAATCTATTCATCCTCTAAATTCAAAATTGCTCCTCAAACCCACATTCCAAAATCTGCAGTTTGGAAATGCTTATTTATGAAGGTGACAATAAAAATTAATAGAGTATTATCAAACATAGTACAAAAATACAGCTACAGAAATATAAAAATAGCCCATTTTCTTGACTTTGAATATAGACTTCTAGCTTCCCTTATGTGTTAACAAAAATCAAAGAAAACATCTAAGTAACTGCAACATTTTCTGCAAAAAAAAATTAGTTGGAACTAAGACTTATAACTAACTGTAACGATAAGACAATTTATTAAAAACATCCATTAACTGGAAAACATTTTTTATTCATTCTCTGTCTTTTTCCTATGTTCTTTCTATTGTTTTAACCATAGACATTGTAGTCTTTTACCCCTAAGTTCTATTACTTCAAAAAAAATAAAGTGTTAACATTTTATTTAAAGACATATAAATACTGTAAAACAATGAAAATAAATTAGTATGCCTTAACAGACCACATTCATGCTGCAGTTTTAGTCTTCTTAAATGGTGAGGGGCAAAATCCACACTGTAGAACATTACTATGAACCTTTAAGATCAATTTAGATCTGTAAGAGCAAAGGACATCGCATATATCAGAAAAATAATTCTTATAACAGTCTAATGAATAAGAACCCAAAATTTTCTCTCTATTTTCTGCCTCTAACACGTAAGTGCATCTGGGGTCCACACCATAAGACACACCTATGTTTTAGAGGAGGAAAATAGAAAAACTAATTTTGAAGCAAATAATGTAAAAAGTGCATCATATAGTCTGAAAAATAACATATGGTATATGTTATAAAGACTACTCATAATGAAGTTTAGCATCTCCTTTATTTAATGCAGTGGTTATAGACCTTATGAGCTAAAAGTTGGAACAAATTTGGAGAACTATAATTTTCTTAAGAACGGCAACGTAGTATGACTTACACCCAATCAGATTTAGACTCATTTTTTATTACCTCTGTAGTGAAACTATAGTTTAGAAACCACAAATCTAAATATAATGAGTGTTTGGATAATAAGATGAAATTTTAGAAAATGTAGAACATTTGTTGCTGACAAAGGTTGTGTAGTAAAATTAGCAGAGTTTTTTAAATGGATAAGGCCTCTGGAAAGTCTATGTTGGGTACCGAAAGTGATTAGAAAACCAGTGACCAAGGATAGGGATCTCCAGATTTTTCAAGCACTAATATCTTCATTAATAGCATTTTCAGATATCCAGAGAAGTTGAAAGAACTTTAAATTCAAGAGTATACCTATACACACACCGCAATGATTATACGGTTTAAATCAAATATTTCCTGGTCTTGAGCCATCACTCTTATCCTTCTTTTCATTTGTCAATGTTTATAATTTTTTTTATGTAGTTCTGATGTTATATACATTTTAAAGCATACCCAGAAATAGGAAATACAGTGGATAAAAAAATGTTCACATACATACAATGTTCACATATACATACTCCGATACTCCGAACCAAGAATTTAGCTAATGATACCCAACAAATAAAATAATGTGATACAACACATACCTTGACACCTGGTGTCTGTTTTAATATGATTTGTAAAGAATATTAAAACTTCAATGCTTCAGCAAGCTGGTTCAAACACGATTCTTCTTTTAACATACTCATATTTCATTTGAGAAAAGATACATTCTCAAAACTGTCTGGTACATTTCTTAACAGGTACCTCTTAACCAAGTTATCATTATAGTGTACCCACCATCAGAGCTAATACTGATCTTTTCAGAAAGAAATGTTTCAAAGATTATAAGGTTTTCAAAATATAAACAGTCTGGCTGGTTTCTGGATATTAATGAACATTCAGATTCATGGAGAAGCTTTCAAATGAACTAAATTTAAGTGCTGGACATTCTTAGATTTAAAAAGTTAGGGGAAACAACTGATTTACTTGTAGATAAGTAAAACAAACACCCCCCCCCACCGCCAAGATGCATATGCATCTACTACTTACATCATCAATGTCTTCATCATCATCTGCAATATCATCAAACTGGATTTCATCATCATCTCCAGGACCAAATGTATCTGTTTCATTGATTTTAGCTAAAGACAGTAATAAGTGTGTCTATATATATAGTCAAGATACTACCAGATGAATTACTTAAAAATGGGTCCTGATATGAAACATTAAACTGTAACAGCAGACTCTTCTAGTTTAATGTTCATATCAGTCCTACTTAAGGTGAAATATTTCATTACAAGAAAAACCCTACCAACAGCTAAGAACTCATAAAGAAGTAAATTCACAATAAAATTTCCAGAAGTTTCCTACTATGTTAATTATAATGAACAGTGTATATACTGCATTTGTGTTTTGTTTAGAAAAGTATTATAAAGAAGACCAGCAGGCCCTAGTTACCCCCCAAAAAAAGTAGCTCTCACACTTTCCATGTATGCTTCAAAATGGGTTTGAAAACATGCTAGCAACTTTCTAGAACATATAAGGTTTTCTGAAGTAAGAACAACTTGTTCACCAACAGTCAGAAATATACCAGTCAAAAAGATTTAATCAAATTATGATTATCCCCTTAAGTCAGATATTTGGAACCATTTTTTCATTTCACAGCACACACAAACTCATTTCTAAAAACCTGCACGCCAAAGTATATATATTTTGCTGATCTCACAAAAATAGGAATGATTTTGACTCATTGATACCACATGGCTATTGTATTGGCTGCTGTTATTATTATTATTTTTTTTTACAATTTAAGGAAAAAAAGGTCAGGGCCCCCTTTTCAGTCAGGTGTTGCATATTTTAAAAATTCTGTGGCACACTGGTTGAAAAATCACTGCCCTATGCAAAAGAGGTTAAAGAGGAGATACTGATTTCATTTACAGATATTTTCTAAATGCCAATAATTTTATCATAATTTATGCTTAGATAAAATCTTGTAATTTTATTGCAAAATGCAATAATGTAAAACAAAATAGGTGCCACGTGAAAAATGTGAGCTTACAAATAATGCATTTCCTCTTTGAAGTTTTGAGGTGCTTACTTTACGTTCTGAAGTGTACTTCAGTGAGAGTGCAATACTTATAAACGAAATGTTAAAAAAATACACACCAAAAAATAAAGACGAAAAAGAATTCATGAATTAATACAGTATCAAGATGAACTGATCATTGTTTTCTACGAAAAATCAGTACTGGGACCATATTGTCGTGATATACCTAAAAACTGGCAAATCTCTTTTGATGATGTGTTAAAAACAGTAAGAAAAAAGTGTATTCCCTTAAACAGATACTTTCACAAGCTCAGAGCTTAAAACCTTAAACTCATCACCAAAAGAACACGTTAGGAAGAGAATTCTATTACTAAAGTATTAATATTATAAAGAAGAGAAGCACTCTAGTAATTTTTAGTTAGTTTAGTACAGTTAATTACTCTAAGTAATTTTAGTTAAGTACATACACAAACAATATGCAGAAATGACAGAATTCTATCTAAATTACTTCAGTATAATACCAACAAACTAATAATACCATAATATAGGAAAAAAATTTGACATTACCATGTTCTGGAAGCTCGCCATATGCCTTCAGACTTCTAGCTTCATCTGCATTGTACTTTAAAATTACATCAGCTTTGTTATCCTTAGAGATAAATAATTTTTAAATCTGCTAAGCCATTATACCATTAGTTGTTTCATAAATTACTTTCAAATGAAACACATTAAGGAAATGCTTAACTGTTTTGTTAAAAACTGTCTACATTCCTAAAATACCCTCAGATTTAATCAAATAGGAATCATTTTGCATGAATGACTAAATAACAATAAATAGCCTAAAATTTGCTGGTAAAATTTATTTTAATGAGAGGAAAAAAAGAAGAGGAATAATAGAAAAAAGTTGCAATGTGGTATCTTATGTATCAGAACTGCTTGTGGTTTTTTGTTTGTTTGTTTGTTTTTTAAATATTTTATTTATTTATCTTTAGAGGGGAAGGGAAGGAGAGAGGGAGAGAAACATCAATGTATGGTTGACTCTTGCATGTCCCCTGCTGGGAACTGGCCTGCAGGGAACCAACCGGCCTGCAACCTAGGCATGTGCCCTGACTGGGAATCGAACCGTGATCGTCTGGTTCGCAGTCCCGCGCTCAATCCACTGAGCTACACCAGCCAGGGCTACTGCTTGTGTTTTTAAAACAAACAGATCTGAAGTAAAGTTTAAAAATCTGTACTTAAAAAGTCTTGTGTTGTTTCTGATGCAAATGTCTTTGAGAACTACCATTGTAAAAATGTTCATATTTGGCATTAAAAAAAACCTGTCATGAAACGGCAGAGCAATATACTTGAAAAATCAATGGAAATGTAACTGAACTAGAAGTTTATAAATTGAAGCATAAAGGAAGTTTGAAAAGAGATGAAAGGGTCAGGCCAGATCCCCAACCCCCAGACTGCTGAAGACCCAGTCTGGCCAGTTTCCAAATCTATGGACTGCCTATGACTCAGTTATCCTGACTCACTTAGTAGCCTGAGGCCTAATTAAAACTATTTCCCACCTCACAAGATAGATACCTGGCACCAGCCACAACAAACTATGGGTACACTGACCCTCCTGTACCTGGGAACAGCCCACCCTTTACCTAACCCACTGTCCCAGCTCACATCCTGGACCTCTGAGGCACCCATGTGGACAAACAAGAGACTAACCCTCCCCCAAACCCTCACAAAAACTGGCCCTTTTTCTTTTAATAACCTAACTCTTGCCTTCCCCCAGTGCTGAAGGTGACCCCGAGTCAGCCGCCTCTCAGCGCAGCATCAAATAAAGGTGCTTGGATCAGATCACCCAGTTCCTATCGCCTCTATTTCTCACACATTTCTAACACAAGATGAAGACATAGTGAGACCCTCTCCCACAAGTGGAGCAACTGGGAAGCTGGAGGAATAATGCAGCAGTGGAGTTCCCACCCCCTGGAAGCATGGGGTCTCAGTGCCATGCAGTGGTTCCCAAACTAGAGCAATAAGATAGGGAGATGAAGCACATAGCATCCAGTAGTGCGAATCAGCAGGGATTCAGTCCAGATAGGTGACTAAGAGCGCAACCTACCGGGAAGGAGTTAACCCACTATTACCAGCTTGGGAAGTTTGCTCCAATCTGTGACTGCTGGACAGGGTATAGCAGTTTGAGGACAGAGGATGGCTCTGCTAAATACACCCACCAGTGACTCTGATAAGCAAAGCTATTTTCAGGATAGACTTTGGGCAGAGAGCCAGTCACAATCTAGATTGTGTGAGGAGATGAAGAGGCATGGCCTTGTCTATCATGTGCCAAGGGCAGCACCCTTCTTTCCACCTGCTGAATTGTTTGGTCTGCCTATTCTGCTTTTCTGAGGAAAAAAATACAACTGTGTGGTGCCAGGCTGGAAATATAGCCCCATCATGCTGCTACAGGTGAGGGACATTTAGCCTGCTTCAAGCTGGGGAGCTGGGAGTTCTGACCCTGCCTTGATGTTGTTGGCTGGCAGCGAGCAGAGACCTGGCCAGAGTGTCAGAGAGGCCTGATGAAATTTTTAATCTTCTGCTTTTAAACCACACAGAGCTGGATTTTGGCTACTGCATCTCTCAGGTTAGCTTTTTTTTTTTTTTCTTCTTCTTCTCTCTCTCTCTTTTTATTGCTGTTTAAGTTCAACTGTCTCCATTTTCCCACCACCACTTTTCCCCAACCCATCTTCACTGGGATTCTGTCTGGAGTCAGGTGTGTGCTGGGCTCCAGAGCTGTGTTTTGGGAAAGCTGAGCCAAACTCCTCAGCAAATGCAGCCCTCACAGCCAGAGGGCTGTGGAACCGCAGCCCTCTGAAGCTGAACCAAACTCCTCAGCAAAGGAAGTGTCTGCCCAACCGACCTACAGCATGGGAGCACCAATTCCTCAGACTATCTGAATCACCTCTGCCACATCCAGGATACTCCTCTGAGCACTGTTCCATGGAAGAAAAATTGAGCAGTCACTGTCTGCTTCTGGTAGCTTGAGAAGCTTGAGAAGAGTAGGATGGAAACAACTTCTGACATTGCATTGCAATAGATAACCTCTCAAGGAACCCAGGACTGGCACAAAGGGCCAGCCTCAGAAAGACAGGAGCAAGATCCAAAAGGTTTCATAAACAGCATATCCAGAGTGAGTGCATCGAGCCTAAGAATATTCTGATACTCGATATTTTGAATGTTTTTTAATCTTTTCTTCCATATTTCTTATTCCTGCTTTCCTTTTACTGTATTTTCTCTTCTTTTTAAATTATTTTTATCCCATTTTTCTTTTTTTGCTTCATTTTTGTATTTTCTCTGTCTCTATACTTATACTTCCTATTTTATTTGTTTCTCTTCTTTCCTTTTTTATTTCCTTCCAAATTCCCTTTTCCTTCTCTAATACCTTTTTAATTTTATAACTTACTACTCCTTTTTCTTATGTATTTATATCAGGTCTCTTTGGAAGATGTCCAGCCATTGATGGACGTTTTGAGATATGAGAATGATTTGTGACCATGATGTAACCTGGAAGCCAAGAAGAGTGGACTGGAATAAGGAAGTGTGAACAATGACTTCAACTGTACTAGTGAGTGGGGCAGTAGATGTCCCAGAGTGAACATGTATCCTGTGTGGCCATTGCATTCAAAATGACTCAGTGAGTAGAGAAATGGATCTGAACCCAATTTTGCATGAAGCTTGAGCATTTCTCCCCAGACCTGTTTGGATGATTCCAGAGGCCACAGCTATGAGCTTCACCACGGCAATGTGCCCACTCATGCATCACAGATCGTGCGGATTTTCTTGGCAAAACATCCAAACACCTAGGTGACTTAGCCCCCATACAGTCTAGATTTGGTGCCTGTGACTTTCAGCTTTTCCCAAAACTAAAAGCACCTTTGAAAGGGCAGAGATTTCAGACCATCAGTGAGAGTCAGGAAAATACAATGGGGCAGCTGATGGCGATTGGGAGAACTATGTGAGGTCCCAAGGTGCCTGCTCTGCGGGGGAGTAAGCCACCAGTGTCCTATGTACAAGGTTTCTTGTATCTTCTTCAATAAATGTCTCTATTTTCATAGTGTGTGGCTGTATACCTTCTGAACAAACTGCCAATTTTATTCTTTATGCTAATACTGCTCAATTTCTTCTTACAGCAGTCTCTTTCACATTTCTCAAATTTCTGGTTTAGTCGTAACAGACTCCTTTATCCTTTAAAAATTTTTTTTTTCTGAAAAGCTCTTTATTTGACCTTCAATTTTAAACAACACCTTGCTGGAGAGAAAATCTTGGTTTCAGATCCTTGCTTTCATTACTTTGAATACTTCATACAAATCCCTTCTCGCCTGTAGTGTTTCTGTTGAGAAATCAGCTGACAGTCTTATGAAGTTCCTTTTTCTGGTACCCCTAGGATACAGATGTTGTTACATTTCTCACTGTCCCAAAGATCCCTTAAACAATCTTTGGGAGAACAAAAAGATTCTCCTACTTTTTAATATTTTTTTGTTTTCGTGCTCTAATTTTTTTTTAACTTGTAACTACTGATTTTTTCCCTCAGTTGTGTTATTCTTCACTTACAACTGGATATTCTTCACGATTTTGAGGGTTTTTTCATGTTGCTAAGGCATCCAGCCACATACTATAAAAAAGACATTTATTAAAGAAAATTGATACAGGGTACAAGAAACGCTGTACATAGGAAAATGATGCCTCAGTCCCCTTCAAATTAGGCACCTTCTGAATTCACACAGTTCGCCAAATATCCATCAGCTGCCCCGTCATATTGTCCTGAACCTCACTGACAGTCTGGAATCTCTTCCCTTTCAAAGGTGATTTTAGTTTTGCAAAAAACCAGGATTCACATGGTGCCAAATCTGGGCTATGTGAGGTGCTGAGTCACCTAGGTGATTTGGTGTTTTCCAAAAAAAAAAAAAATTCTGCATGAAATGTGATGCATGAGCAGGTATATTGTTGTGATGAAGCTGCCAATCACCCGTTGCCCATAGCTGCGGCTTTCTGAATCATCTTGATAGTTTCCAAGGAGGAATGTTCAAGCTTCACACAAAATTTGATGTATGAAGAGCAGATTCATTGCTCTACTTGCTCATGCTCACTCTATGGCATCTACCACCTCCACTGACTAATACAGTGAAGTCATCATTGTTCATGCATGTGCATTCCAGTCCATTCTCCTTGGCTGCCAGGTACATTGATGTCAAGCATTCCAGGGTACACTTATGTGAGGCAAACTATTCTCGTATATTAACAACAGTTGGATTTTTTTCTGGAGAGTCCTTGTATATAAGTACCTGTCAATAATAGCCTTAAATGTAAGAGAATTAAATATTCCAATTAAAAGGTGTAGGGTAGCTGAGTAAATAAGAAAATTTAACTCATACACATGTCTACAAGAGACCAACCTCAGAGAAAAAGAGTCACAAGGCTGAAAGAGAAGAGATGGGGCAAAATATTGTATTCAAATGAAAACAAACAAACAAAAATCCCCTCAAATACTAGCATAGTAACACCTATATATGACCAAATGAACTTAAAAATAAAAGACATAGTAAGAGATGAAATAAGTCACCACATCAGTAGAGCCCATATAAGTCACAAGCGTCATTCCTAGAGCACCCAGCTCAGTAAACAAACTGCACCACTAGGTCCCACACGATATC